GTTCACTCACCACTTCACCCGTCCCCCCCTCCCTTCTTACCAGCATCCATCACTCCAACTACTCCACCTTTCTCTGAATTCACACCTGTCTCCATAGCCGAACTCACCAACATCATCTCAACAATGAATTCCTCCACCTGCACACTGGATCCCATCCCATCTTCCTTCGTCAAGCACTGCTTTCCCACCGTCTCCCATCTCTTCATGAACATTGTCAACTCCTCCCTCAACTTTTCCTATGTCCCCTCCTCGCTCAAACTTGCTGCTGTAACCCCCATCACCAAAAAAACAGACTCAACCCTGACATCATGAGCAACTTTCGACCCTTCTCCAACCTCCCCTTTCTGTCCAAAGTCATAGAACTTGCCGTCGCATCTCAAATTAAAACCTACTTAGACAATAACCAATTCTTCGAACAATTTCAATCTGGATTCCGCAAACAACACAGCACTGAGACAGGCCTCCTCAAAATCACCAATGACTCCTGCCTACTCTCCGACCTTCTTCACCAGTACACTCCTTCCCGCAACCTCCGCTCCTCAAACACAAACCTTCTCTCCATCCCCGTGACCAAGCTCAAAACCTGGTGGGACCGAGCCTTCTCCATCGCCGCCCCCACCCTCTGGAACGCTCTACCACAACACATCCGCAACTGTACTGACCTCGAATTCTTCAAATCATCTCTTAAAACTCACCTGTTCCGCTTTTAACACCTTTTAATCTCTTTTACCCATTTTTGCATTGTTTTGTTCATCTAAATGTGTTTTTTTTGTAAATCATGTATGCTTGGCTTGAAGTGTACAATTTTATCCTGTGTTTTAAGCTCTTGTAAAGTTTTCTTTGAGTATGATGAAAAGCGCTTTCAAAATAAATGTATTATTATTATTATTATTAATATTATTACTACTTGTCGCAGTCCGCTTGGTTGCTGAGCCAGGTTTTGGTGAAGCAGAGCGCAGCGGAACGTGCAAAGGTTGGTTCCTTATGAGAAGAAGTTCATCTATCTTGTTTGGCAGGGAACATACCGTATTTTCACAACTATAAGGCGCCATTAAAAGTCTTAAATTTTCTCCAAAATGGACAGGACGCCTTATAATGCGGTGCGTGTTATGTATGCGCCGAGTTCCAAAACCGGACTGAGAGCACCTCTGGCCGACACGCTGTTTATATAGAGAAAAGGTGGACGTGAGTGACAACAGGCATGCGGAAGTTGGCCAATGAGTGAAGGGTGGGCGTGTAAGAGGACGCTAAAGGCACGTCCCGAGCAGGTGCCAGTCGCCAATGAGTGAAGGGTGGGTGTGTAGAGGACGCTAAAGGCACGCCCCTAGCAGGTACCAGTCGCCAATGAGTGAAGGGTAGGCGCGTAAGAGGACGCTAAAGGCACACCCCGAGCAGGTACCAGTCGCGTGAGTACATAGTAAAATGGATAAATAAAGTACAACCGAACTCAGTTTTGCTTCCGTTGCCTTTTTAAAAACGTGTTTTTAGCGTGTGTCCGTATGTCTTAGCTGCAACCGCATGCTTTAAGCTAACATACCTGGTATGTTTTAGCGTGAATGCATGCTCCCGAATGCTTCAAGCTAACGTGTTTTTAGCGTGCCTGCATGCATGCCGTGTGTTTAAGCTGGCGTATGTTTTACCATGCCTGGCTGCGCCCAATAATACAGTGTGTTTTGTGTATGTGTCAAATACAGAAATAGCACCCATTACTGAGACTGCGCCCAACAATACGGTGCGCCGAATGGTCGTGAAAATACGGTAGATTAGCAAGATGGATCGATGGGTGTGGGGTTCCAAATCCACGCTGGCGTGGCTTGACTAGCACGGCGGCTCGTTTCCCACTTCTCCTCCGGCGGCATCGCTATTCTCCGTACACTGCAGCTGCCCCACCAGTTATTATCTATGAAAAACCTTGTGGGTTTGTTTGTGTTTGTGTTGTCTCTCGTGATATATAAAATAAAGGAGACGAGGCGTGCTGGATAGAACTCGTGGGACTCTTTACTGCCAAACTTGTGCTCTGCAACCTAACTGGTAGGTTGGAACGAATGCGGCGACCCATCAGCATTTGAGCTGGTGACAGCCCATTTTGTAGAGGTGCACTCCGGTATATCAGCAGATTCTTTTGAAAGTTATCTCTGTCTTGTGATTTTTTCATCATAGTTTTAATCGTTTTTACAGAGGACTCCGCCAAGCCGTTGGACCTTGGATACATGGGGCTTGACGTGGAGTGATGGAAACCCCATTCTTTGGCAAAGTGAGCAAACTCGTGGCTGGTAAACTGAGGTCCATTGTCTGAAAACAGTTCACATGGGACACCATGTCTGGGGAAAACTGCCTTAAGATAGCTGATGATTGCCTTGCTTGATGTTGACTGCAGAGCACCAACTTCCGGATAGTTGGAAAAGTAATCGGTGACTACTATGTAGCTCTTTCCATCAAGGTCAAACAGATCAGTTCCTACCTTGTGGTAAGGTCTGTGGGGTACTGGATGGTTCATCAGCGGCTCTGCTTGTTGTTTTGGCCTGTAGATGCGACACAGTTCACATGCTGCTGTTGTCTGGCTAATATCTTGGTTGATTCTTGGCCAATACATCACTTCTCTCGCCCTACGTTTACACTTGACTTCTCCGAGGTGACCTTCATGTATCTTCTGGAGCATTTGTTTGCGTAGTGAGGATGGAATTACAAATTTGCTTCCTTTCAGTACAAGGTCATCCACCACCGTAAGCTATGCTCTGCAATTCCAATAATATTGTATTTTCTCGGGACAATTCTTCTTGTTGTCCGGCCACCCTTTTAGTATCGTGCTCTTGAGTTCTTTCATGGTGTTATCTGCGATTGTCTCTTTCCGTATCTGTTCTGTTCTGTCCGCAGTCACAGGCAAAGATGACACGACCATGTCCACATATGCCTGTATTTTTGTGCTTTTCTCACTGTCTGCATGTTCTTCTTTGTCTACTGCTCGAGACAAGGTGTCGGCGACGTACATGTATTTACCTGGTGTGTATATCATGTGCACGTCGTACTTTTGTAGCCTGATTAGCATACGCTGTATGCGTACCGGACAGTCATTCAAGGGTTTGTTCATGATGGACACTAAGGGTTTATGATCAGTTTCCACTTCAAACCTCTGACCGTAGACATACTGATGGAAACGCTCACATGCATACAAACTCGCCAACAGCTCTTTCTCAATCTGCGCATACCTGGACTCGGCGCTTGTCAAGGCTCTCGATGCATACGCGACAGGTGACCACTTGTTAGGTTGCAGAGTACAAGTTTGGAAGTAAAGAGTCCCACGAGTTCTATCCAGCACGCCTCGTCTCCTTTATTTTATATATCACGAGAGACAACACAGTGTTGGCGAAAAAAGTCAGTGTACACTCCCGAATGCTTCGTCAGTCTTCTCTTCAGTCAGCGGCGTAGGGTCGCGAAAAACAAAGGAAAATGACAAAAACAAGGATAATACCAGGGAGCGCGTAACTGAGGCGGCCACCCGTGTTTGTAATGATTTGCTGTCACAAGAAAAGCTGCTGTTACTTCACCCAGATGATCCTATCCTCTCAAAATGATTTACAGTCCAGGTTGAAGACATCTAACAAATGTATTTTTCATCATTGTCCGAGCTTTACTTACTCACTAAAGGACATACAGGCCTGTCCCAAAAAATAAATAAAAATCCATGTTCGAGGTTTATGGGACCCTTTCAATGTTTCAGGACCCCAACATGCTAGTACCTTAAAGTGGCCTGAGCTGCGAGGGCCCCTCATCGCTGCTTGCAGCTCTAGTCTGCATATTAACCATTATGTTTATGGTATTCTGTTAAATCTTGGTGAAATTTCTCAATTCAATAATATTTTGTAAAACAATTCCTAATGTTTTTTTGTCATTTATGCCAAACAAAGAGTCAGGCACAGACAGAGATCGCTGGAGAGAGCATAACGTCATGTCATGGACTTTTATTATTTCCAGTTTGTCTAAGGCGCACTCGATATGTTATATATTTTTTATTTATTGAATGTTTGAGTCAATGAGATTCCATCCATCGTGTTCCATGATGGATGAGCCATTATTGTGGACATTAATACGAGGCGTAGTTCATTACCGAGCTAGATACAGTACTTGCTGCGACTGCGTATGACGTAATAAGTAGTACGTTTTCGACGTCGCTGACACGACAACGTCAAAGAATATTTGATGGTCCTAAAATAGCGGTGACAAACTAATTCAGCATTGATGGAAGCAAGGTCAAAATAATGATGATGGAGTGACAGACTGACAGTTTTGGTCTGTCGTAATAATGACAGACTGTATATGACTAATGCATGGCATGGCTGCTGACAACATTCAAATGACTGACCGGCAAAATTTATTTACATGCCCACCTCTGCCAATTTCTGGAATTAACAATAACTTCGGCGGCCTGGTGGCCGAGTGGTTAGCGCGTCGACCTCACAGTGTAGAGGTTGTGGGTTCGAACCTGGCTCCGGCCTTCCTGTGTGGAGTTTGCATGCTCTCCTGTGGGTTTTCTCTGGGTACTCCGGTTTCCTCTCACATTCCAAAAACATGCATTGCAGTCTGATTGAACACTCTAAATCAGATCATCAGCAAGCTCTGCAGAAGCCTGACATTGAACCTGTTCATTTGAATCAGGTGTGTTGCAACAGGGAGACTTGGAAAACATGCAGTACAGTGGCCCTCCAGGACCTGAGTTTGAGACCCCTGCAATTGTCCCTAGGTGTGACAATAGTGTGAGCGCGGATGCTTGTTCGTCTCTGTGTGCCTTGCGATTGGCTGGCAGCCGGTTTAGGGTGTCCCCCGCCGACTGCCCAAAGACAGCTGGGATAGGCTCCAGCACCCGCGACCCTTGTGAGGATAAAGCGGATCGGAACATGAATGAATGAATAAAAATAACTTCACTTATGCCTTGAAAAGAGGAAGGTTCAAAGAAATATTGATGTCACACCTGAGCTTTGGTTTGTTGTGTCATCCTGCTGCAGGTCAGGTGGTCAGTGTGGATAAGGGTATTCGATGTGAAAACCTGCCCATCATCACCCCGACAGGAGACGTGGTTGTGTCCAGCCTCAACATTCAGGTAACACGACCTCATTCAGTTTAAAGTTGTATCGTTGTTGATCACCAGGTGTCAGTATAACATGTTTTAGGTCACGTCTACTCTGACAGACTGAAGCTCCTTCACATTTAATGGAACGGACAGTGCGTGCGTTATGAATACAGTTCCAAGCATGAAGCAATTGAAATGGAGAAGAAAAAGAAAAAGACAAACATTGTCATCTTTGGCTGACATCTGTGTTTGGTCCTTTCTCTCGCAAAGTGTTTCTAAATAGCCAGAGGTGGGCAATTTACAAAATTTTCCTGCTCTGTCATTCGTCAGCGGTTTGGGTACCCGTCCCTCATCGCGTCAGTCTGTCATTAATTCAAGTTCAACAAAACTATCATTCTGTCAGTCTGTCATGTTATTTTAATTGCGCTTCCATCAAAAACTTTCACTGCTCCGCCAGTCCGTCTATTGACAGTCCGTCACCCTCCTGCCCCCACACATGCTCCAAATTTAAAAAAAAAAAAATTACAGTCCAACAGATGAAAATTAAAAGGGTAAATGGAGTGCACTATTTATCAGTGTATCTTCATCATACAGTGACTGGGTAAAGATCTTGACACACACACACACACACACACACACACACATTTCACACAGCATACACACACATTTCACACAGCATACACTTGTTTGCCAAGCAATTGAATTGTTAAGTACAGCGTGTTGACGGCTGACTGTTGACATTTTAAGGCCTAAAATGCAAAGATACACACATTCTCTCTATATATATATATATATATATATATATATATATATATGTATTTATATAATTTAAAGTTTTGCTTCTCTTAACCAAAATCCTCTGTCACATGGTTGCCAAAGGTACAGTCCTGGTGGATTAAAATGTTTCCTCGTCCTTGTGGAAATCGAAACTATGTTGACATGACAATCAATTTATGCTTTTTCTCAAATGTAGTTGTCATCTTTGTCTTCTTTTTCTGTCAGTTGGTGTTGGGCAAACAACTTCTGGTGCTCTACTGCCACGTTTGAAATGGATATATAGCACTACATTTTCCAAAAATACCAATACAAATACAAACTCACAAACGTTATCTGTAAAAAATCTCTAGAACTCAAAGCTGCTTTCTGATCTCTTATTTAATTAATTACCATATTGTCCGCATTATAAGACACACCGAACAGCATTCAAGTCAAGTCAGTCAAGTCAGCTTTTTTTGTCAAATATGCTCTATGTGTAACATACAGCACAGATGAAATTATTTTCCTCTCTCAACCACAGTGCAAACATGTAGTGCATTGAACACACCCAGCTAAAATTTACATAAAATTACATAAGGTATACATATATAAATGCTGAGTCAAGATGGGTCGACTAATATAGATACTGTAATCAGAATGGAGCATATCTCCCCAATTCAGATCAAAGTACCGTATTTTCCGCAATATATGGCGCACCTAAAAGCATTCCGTTTTCTCAAAAGCCAACAGTGCACTTTAAAATCCGATGCGCTTTATATATGGATCAATAATCTGATTTCTTGGACGTAGTATTTTAAATGTTCTGTAAAACGCTTTGTTATAGCTGCAGCAGTTGTGAAGGCTCGACATAAATAAATCTGTATTGTAATGTATTCTATTCCCTTTAGCGTAGCTTCATCTAGTGGACGCATCACACAATCACCTCCACTATTGGAACTTCTATTCAATGTGCCTTGTAATCCGTTGTGCACTATATATGAAAACTGATTTAAAATAGGCCATTCATTGAAGGTCCGCCTTTTACTCTGAAACGCTTTATCGTGCGGAAAATACGGGACATCTTTCTGTCATTTGTGAAATGGTGTCTGTCATTGACAGACTGAGGGGTCTGTCAGTACATGACCTGGTTCGTGACGTTTATGACAACGTACTAAAATCCATCTCTATCAGTTTTTAATTTTTTTTTTTTTTTAGTTTTTTTGTCAGTCGTCATTTGTCAGAACATCGGGTCACTGACGGACCATCTGTCATTACTGACAGAATGCCCACCTCTGCAAATAGCACAGATCACCTGACTTGCTATTATTTTTTATTTTACTGTCTAGTCCGATTATTATGATGTGATGGACAGAACAGTTGTGTTGATTTGCTGACTGTGTGTTGTCAGGTGGACGAGGGCATGGATGTGTTGATCACGGGACCTAACGGATGCGGCAAAAGTTCTTTGTTCAGGATTCTCAGCGGGCTGTGGCCAGTTTATGGAGGTGTTCTTTCACGACCAGAACCAGAACACATGTTCTACATACCACAGAGGTATGCGCACTAGCACTTCTTGTGTGCGTATTACTCCTAATAATACAGTGAACCCTTAGCTTCTTTGTACAATGCAAAGACAGGTAAATAGTAATGCACATTTAATATGTGTAATCTAATGTAATGGCTCTTAAGCAGGGGTTCTGTGTAAAAGGAGTTCTAAATTAACTGCTGAATGAGGAAGGTGTCCAGGGGTGGCCAACCAGTCAGGGACGAAGAGCCAATTCTTTTACTGTGTAACTGCAAAGAGCCACATCATACACATACATAAACATCACGCCATCCCTTCCTCTCACACACACACACACACACACACACACACACACACACACACACACACACACACACACAGA